GATTTGATGACGTCAACGTGTGAGAGAAAGTATGATGCGTGGGGACTTAAATTATTTGGCGCGCAGTCATGTCTTCGCCGGTGTGGAACTACTACGATGTTTCGGGAAAAAAAATGAAAAATTCGCTATTTGCTGTGTATTTTCCAAAGAAATCTCACGTGGAGGAGCATTGTCCAAAACATTTAATACAACGAACCTGATTTTTCACTTAAGAACGAGCCACCACGAGACGCATGGCGAATATGAAAAACTGGCAACTGCAAAAAAGGCAACGGTAACTAGTAATCTGACTCTCACTCAGCTTTATTATGTCCTGCTCAGACTTGTATTGGACGAATTACATCAGACTTCTCCATTTTAGGAGACTAAATGTTTATTTTGTCCTCCACAGTATTGGACAATGTTTAAATAAACCTTATGGGCTGCATTGAACTGTTCCATTTTGTTTATTTGTCTTATATTAAGTCAATTAAGCATCGGTATCGGCCGATCACCATGACAAGAAATCAGTAATCAGTATCGGCTGGAAAAATCCTGATCGGAGCATCCCTAATTAGAATGCTCTGTCACTTATTTGAATAAGTGTGTCATCCTCGCAACAGATCTGTGTGTGTGTGTGACGAGGGAATTCTAGCCGACTCCTTTACACATTTATAAGCTCTTCACGAGTTCTCAGCTGGTCAAAATACCATCATTTGAAGCTACAAACACACAGCGAGCGCATTTATCCCAGAACACAGCATTGTTATGGATGTTCGGTAAGTTGAGTCCATCCATAATAAAAGCCGACCAATCAGGTTGTGAATGAATCCTCCCTATGCCTTTAGGTTTGGTGTTAACCGGCTTTTTAAATTGTATTATATTGTTGTCTGAGGTCAACTTATGACGTTCGCTTGGTTTTTACATTCAAAAACATCAAAATGAATAAGTAATAGGCTATTTTCTACTCTAGTTTTGAGCCTAGCTTCAAAACGCTGTGTTTTTATGGGCGTGTCGCACTGAAGACTTGGAAGTAAACGCCCACTGCTGTGAGTGGATAACAGTTTTGCATATTATAATGAGTTTCGACTCACCCGTCGATGCACTTGGGGGAAATTGTTTTGAAAACGCCCAATGTTGTAAAATGGCAACCGGAATGATTCGACCACACATGTTCGACCCAGAGTCCGTGTGTTGCACAATTCCTGTCAGATCCAATGTAGACGGCACAGCACCGTTCTTTACTCTTAATCGGTCTGCAAATCCAGTCTTCTTTACAAAACAATCCTCAGTGAAATGAAGCGAACAGGCCGACAATGTTTTACCTCATCAGCTGGAACGTCAATCATTAAAAATAAAGTTTATCTATTGGAATCCAGAGGAAGCTTATGCAGCGACTGTCTTCTTCCACAACCAGGCGCTGCTCAATATTCTGTATTGCTCGGTATCTCGATCCAGTTTGTCATCGCGAGGTAGGCTATGTTATTTAGCTATGCGTGTAACTGGTGAATCAAAACCGGCCGTGTTGAAGTAGGCATTGATCTCAGTCTGCCCCACTTTGAAAAACGAGTCGTTTGCTGAGCCTGGTGTCAATAAAAGCTTTGATTGGACTAACAAGGACCTTTTCAGTTCTGAAACTTACAGGATATTCTTATAATATGATGACCTCTTAGATGTCAAAACAAAAGCTCAAGGAAAATTTGATTTCTCAGTTCATCACCCTCTTCAAATGCCAATGTAAACGTTTGCTTTTTCTGGTTCGGACCAAGCGAACCGAACTAAAAGTGCAAACAAATCCTTAGTCTTCATTCATTTTAATTGCATGCAAAAGTACAATTTATAAATACCTTTTAATTTCCAAAGAAAGTCACACAGGTTTGCTCACACAGAACACAATTATGCCAATTTTAATTGTTGGGTGAACTTTCCCTTTAACAAGGATCATTGACTTTATGCAAATTTAATACAGCACTGTTCAGAAAGAATTCTAAAAAAGGAAGGACTCTCAGCTTGTGAGGAAAATCTGAGCATGAAGTAAAACGTCAGCAAACTCAGAAAGGAAACAAAACGAGGCCCGTCTCAGCCTGGATTAATGTGGAGAGCGAACGCTCTTTCACAAATTGATTTCTCTCTGGTAGAAACGGCGAATGTCCTTGCCTCGTATCAGTGGCGCTCTCGACTGATAAATCTTCCCGCCACTGGAGGATGGAAACTTTTGAAAGGACGTTGAATCCCTTCATACTCGTATTCCTCTGTCGGTCAGGCTCAGTAACATGAAAAACCCCGGCACTGTAAAGAAAATAATTGGACTTTGCTTGGTTTTTTAATGAGCCTGTCCTGTGGTTTGAGCGAAGTACAACTTAAATGATAAAAAAAATGGACACGTTCACACGATAAGCCTCGGATCGACAAAATCCCCCCCTAAGACTGCATCCACAAAAGCCATCTGTGATCCTTCACAAAAATGCAAATAACTGAACAAGAGAAATGTGTGTTGTGGAGCTCTTTACTTATGGATATCACAAGGGGGCTGAAATGACATGACTTTCCTTCTTCTTTAGAGAGCTGGGAATAAAACAAAACCAAAAAAACATTCATATTTGAAACGTTTGGTGTGACGGCAAGGACACAGAAACTGCTCAATGACTGCCAGGCTTTCTAATACACCATGTCTGTGAGGACAAACTGAACCGAATATAAAGGAGAAGGAGTGGGAGATGGACGAGATGGTCACGATTCATTTGAGTGACAAACATGTCAGGAGAGTCTCCAGAGCGGTGCCAATGGGATCCAACTGGGAAACTGTCCGACTCTGAAGTTACTAAAGTCATTAAAGACTCCAGAGAGGGAATGAACAGTTCTACTATTACTGTAATCCAGGAGCACCAACCATGTGAAACCTATACTAAACTCCTGCTTTTACAAGTGAACACTGATTACTCATGACAGCACAATCCTTCAAACTCCAGACTTTAGCCTGATATGTCAAGCATGACCACTGTTGAGAAGACGAGGTAAAAGCTGATCTGATTTATTTATTTATTTTTTACAGGGGCCAGAAATGTTGTCGACACACCTCCATTATATATATATATATATATATATAATACATTAATAAAAACAATAACATCTGTAATATTTTGTTAAATTTTAATATTCTTACCTAATAATAATAACTCTACTCTTATTAAAATTAGCCATCTTGAGTATCATAAATTTAGGTCATGATACCCACAGGTAAAACCACACGCAGTAAAAACAAATGTAGCAATATTGTTTCTATGGTAACTAGAATGGTTTTATGGTATTTAATCAATCAACACATTTAGTATACTGTAAATACAAACTTACAAAACTATCTTATATCAAATGTTTCTGTCATTTGCCCTATATTTTATTTAAAGTCCCCCTGTAGTCAATTATTGTTTCCCTTTAAACTAATTTTTAATCACCAAAATTACACATTTAAATGATTTTTTTTTCTTGGAAAAATAGCTTGAATGTAACTCGACACTCGTGCCTCATTTAGTATACGCGGTCCTATGAATATGCGCCTCCACTCACTCACTCAGCTCAGCGATCCACTGGTTGACGATCACACGTTGATCTGATTGGTTACAAGGTAGTGCGTGACGTCAGAAACACCAGCGATTTCAAACCGCGTTTTTGAGACTGTCTTTGGTTCACTGCAGTTTTAAGCAGAAAATACTCCGCAAATGTTGTTCCCATATGAATTTACACATGGTTTATCTTAAAGCATATTAAAATCACCACAAAGACATATAAACAACATTAAAAACTGGATTTCCACCACAGGGGGTACATTAACGCTCAATCCCTATCTACATTGATAACAATAAAATCCACATTTCTACTTCAATACCAAGTTTACAGTTAGTGTAAATCCATGGTAAATGTTGGTGATTTGGTGATTGAAAAGTATTCTGGATTGTTAGTTTTTCCGCGTCAATGTTGTCGAGAACGCCCGCAATGATTTCAACTAGTTTAAATCACCAAGGGGTTTGTGTTTGTGTCGGAGACGTCTGAGCGCTTCTCACTGAGCTGTTTAGTGGTCGCGCGATCGAGAGCTCACGCTGCGCTGAGACATAAATGGTCCGTGTGCCGCTTTTGGCGCGTTTAATGTTTCTCATAAGCGACAGAAATGGCAGTGCTTATCAGTGATCACATTTAGTTTCACTCTCGGTTTACTGCAACACCTGGCCTAAAATCTAAGTGCTGTCAGCTTGTGTTGGCACTGGGAAACTGCATGATTTGTAAATGATGCACGGCGGGCCACATACAATGTATTCTAAAAGACAAGCTGCGGGCCTTTTAAAATGTATCCCCGGGCCACAATTGGCCAGCGGGGCTGGACCTCGGACACTGCTCCGATGGTACAACTATGAATGTAAAATCCAGGCTTAACTGGATTCAAAATCAATAAGGCAGAAAATCATAGCGCTTTTGGGTTCACGAATGTGTGAGGAACTCGGATTAACCGATTGATCAACTTAAAGAGTCTTAATGAGGGAAAATGTTTGAGCCTAAAGGAAAAAACATCAACGACATTAACTTCAAAAAGATAAAAATGTGCACGTGCGGATTAGAGTCCTGCTTCCGAATGATGCAACCTTCGTACAATTCCCTAGAAAAGCATCTAAATGCATCATATATATCTCTCTAGCAAAAATAATCAATTTGCACAGTTCCTGAGACTCACGCCTATCCATATGTGCAACACACAATGCATTTATAGTGTTTTGCCACCTCTTTTTTCAGAGCTTGACAGCCTGTGGTCTCCAAACATTTCTTGTTTCAGATAATAAATACACGGATGACAAGGATTACATGAATTTATAATATCTCATTAAAATGAACAACTCATCGGTAGTCTTGTGTTGACAAACTGACATATTTTGTATTCTTTCCTAGTCTATATCTCATGCACAGATGGAGGCTTTCATGGTTTAATACATCATTCTTCATGTGAGCATGGCGTGTGCATACGTGTGGAGACTGACCTCTTCTTCTCGGATTCGTGTTTGCTGAGCAGTTTCTGCAAGCCTCCGCTCTTGAAGCCTTGCGAATGTGATGCCGGAGCTCCTACTGTGACCACATCATAGAAGGAATCTGTGGAGGAAACAGCAAACATCCTTCAGCAGGCCTTACAAATCACAAGCAAGCCCACGGCGCACCGTTTACGTCTTCTTTTATGTGCTTTCCTGTTGTTCTGCGAATACATCCACACAGCCTGCTCCAGCTGAAGACCCGTGATGCATCTGTTGAACACGGTGTGGAGTGGAACCACGTGCTGTTTAGACCTATTTAAATGTGTGAAGCGTTTCAAGAATGGAGATCGCCTGGTAACCATCTATACAGTTACTACTCAGTACATAGTGTACTTTTGCTTTCTGCAGTCGCCAGTCATTGTTTACATGCACAGCTTTTGTTTCAATAATCCCGATTGGTGAATCTGAATGTAGTGTTTACATGAACGCTAAACAAGTGATCGGTTGATGTGCGTTTTAACATCGCTAAGAAAATTCCCGCTCCTCCGTGAGAGATACGAGACCGGGCCCTCACTCGTCCCGCTCGCCGCAGGAAACATGACGAACGGCGACTGTAGAACGCAAAAGCCGAATCCCGGACATTTTGGGCGATCTCGAAACACATTTTCGGGCAGACTCGTCACGGAGACTCACTAGTAGCCTAGACTTGTTGTTTAACCACTGCGCTCTGTTACCAGTAGGCGTGGCCTCCTAGGGAAGCGAAGCAAGTGCATTCTGGGAGTTGTTGTCTTTCATCCACATGAGCCAAAAACACATTTACTGGCTTTTCTCAGACTAAAAAGCTCCAAATTCAAAATTAATTTCACATTTCTTCTACATAAATGACCCATTTTAAATACACATTCATCTTTCCAGAGGTGAAGTACCCCTTTAATATACTGTATACACAACATCCTGACATTCATTACCCAACATCAGTGTTGTGCAAGTTACTTCCAAACTGTAATACATTAGGTATTAATTGTTACTGTTATTTAAAAGTAATTCATTACCTTACAATATTACTGTCTCAGAATTGTAATGCGTTACATTACTCATGTATTACTTTTGAGTTACTTTTACCAAAATAACTAAGTAGAACTTAACTTTGGGGCTGTAACGATATTTAATATGAAACCGAAATCGCGATTCGCCACACGACTCAGATCCACGAACCTACAGAATCGCGACACACCTCTTCCAACTCCAGCGTTATTCTCCTTACCGTCCATATCCAATGCTGCCTTATATTTAAATTAGGCTATTAGTATTATTTGAAGTTAACATTATAAAATACGTAGACCTACACCACAAAACTAGTTAAGGAGCATTATGGACATGATGACATTTGCAGTCAAAACTTGAAATAAAAATTCTCAGAAAATACATGTATTGAAACGTATATAGGCTACTTCCTCAAAGGACTCCAGACATTAGACAAATATCAGTCTATGTTTTATTTTTAATATTCGGGAAAAGACACACATTCACGCGTGACAAAAAAAAAATAGGAGGCAAAATATATTTTTTGTAATTTTGTTAATTGCACTGCGCAAATCGGATGAGGAAGGGTTGGCTCGCCAGTCTCCATAGAACTTAAAATATTCATTTTATTGTAGTTTTCGTGTTCGCATTTATGAGGAAAAAACAATGTTACAGACGCGACCGCTCTGAACTGGCACTAAAAGACTGCTTTAAAACTTTCACATAGTCTGTTGCCTTTAAGAAGTAAAAGCAGACAATACACTGTAATACAAGCCTCACTCAACATGTAACGAGTGAAATATTACTGAAAATTGATTAGTAATGCCTTACACTACTGCGTTACAGCAAAAAGTAATATGTTACTGTAATGTATTAATTTTGTAATGCGTTACACCCAACACTGCCCAACATACACTGAATGAAAGTGGCAGCCAGACGATTCACAGATGAAATTTGCAGTGGTTTTATTTTTACACCCACTTTTACACTAACTGAGGCCCATTTTCATGATTCCACATCGATTTCCCAAAAAATGAATGCGAAATATATTGTGTGCGGTCACTGTGGAGGTCATACACTGCGTCTGCAGTATTTCTGCTAGATATATGCAAGGTCAACTAATCGGCTCCACGGGAAGTGAGCGCGAAAGATTAAACAGAAAATAATGATTCAGCTCCCTTCAAACGCGCTGACCCCGAAACACCGGCATCGTGACGCTTATAAGCTTCGTTCCTTCGCTAATGACGACGAGGTTCTTGTGCGACGACTCGCATCCCACCCTCGCGCTCTCGCCGCTCCCCGGCCTCTTCAGGAGACTCTAATTGGCTGCTTCACAACAGCGCACCCACACGATGAATACAGTGGCATATATACGGGTCAGGATCATCCGTCACGCATGGCCCAATTTGGAGGCGATTTGTGCAGGTTCCTGCAGGCTCTATAAATGGAGGCTCTGATCCGAGGGGCTCAGGCACCTGTGTCTCTCCGTGCTGGAGAGGAATTGTTTGCAGAGGACTGGAAAGCTTTAAAGTAGGGCTGTCAGTTCAACATGTTAATTTACTGCAATTGATTCTGCACTGTATGAAGGTAAACACAATCATGACACTTAAAGGGATAGTCCACCCAAAAAGATCAATGTCATCGTTTACTCAACCTAATGTAGATCCAAACGTGTCTTTCTTTCAATTATGGCACATAAAAGCAGATATTTTGAAGAATGCTGGTGACTAAACTGTTTTGGTTCCCATTGACTTCCATAGTATGTGCAAAACTCAATGAAAGTCAATGGGCACTGAACCTTGTTTGTTTGTGTTCTGCCGAAGAGAGAAATGCATTAAGGTTTGGAAATAATAAGCAGTGTTGGGGAAAGTTACTTTTAAAAGTAATGCGTTATTGCGCTACTCCCTTAAAAAAGTAACTAATTGCATTACTTAATAACTTTTTTAGAGTAATTACATTCATTTTTCGTTATTTGATCACTTTTCACTTATGAAAATCACTTTTCTTAATTCATAATGTCAGTTTAATGCTTAGTCTGGTGCAATGTACATTAATCTTGAGGCACGTTTCTGAAAAAAATTTCCGTGGCTTTTGTCTGTGATTATTGTAATGTGATTAACGTGATTATTGCAATTAGTTGAATGATAGCATTCATAATAACGTAATTAATTAGATCAACAGTTTTAATTTGATTGACAGCTCTAGTCAATGTGAAATTGTTTCTGAAACGTATTTTAAAGTGAAATAGGCCGTTCAATTATAAGCGCAAGGTGAGGCTTGACATTTGAATGTGTGTATAGCTTTAGAAAGAAACACTTCCATATCTTTAAAAAGCGACATTTGAGAACCGGTTTATGGCCCTTAAGAGCAGCTAAGTGCTTGTCAGCGCTAGGCGAAAGAGAAAAAGAAAAGCATAGATGGCATGTTGTTGGTAAGAAGCAGATGTTGAAGGCTATAGTGTGTAAAGTGCCACTGTCACACTTCAGGACTTCTGTTTGAGGCTGTCAACAAAACCGGTGTGTGTTTGTGTCTTTAAAGATGCAGCACCATTATTAACATGAATCCAGTTTAATTAGGAGAGGATGTCTGGCTTTTAAACGTTGATTCTGTCATTCTTCTGTACATAAATATCATAATTTAACATTGGCAATCAATCACCTTATTCAAAATTGATTTTTTATTTAAAAAGCATTCATGTCATATTATATACTATTATATACAGTGACACAAGTGTTTATAATATATACTGTTATAAAAGTTTAGGGACTTTATTGAACCATTTTATGAAATTAAATTGTTAAAAAAGAACAATCTTTTAAATGGTTTATATATATATACACCGGTGAAACTCGGGAATTAAAAGGTGAAACTGATATATTATATAGACTATAGGAGATATTTCAAGCCTTATTATGTTATAATTTCGATGATTATGTCTATGTCTTACAGCTCAAGAAAACCCCAAAGTGAACCGTCTTTATAAAGTATCTTCTTATTAAAGGGTCTGTACTCTTACAAAGTTCTCAATGCTTCGTCAATGTATGGACCCTCATTATGTTACTGTGTTAGTGTGGGGCTATTTTGATCCTTGTTAGTGGTATAAACAAGCGATTTCTATTTAGTTAGTAAATGCCCCCAGTACTAGCATTATATGCTTAACACTTTTTAGAGATAAAACTATTTACATTTGATTATCATGAAAACAAATCTCAGAGAACGATTGACTAGGTACCGATGTTTTATTAGACCAAAGGTTCATTTTGCGGCAGAGTTCTCCTTTAAGGAAAAATAATGCGACAAAAAGAAATCAAGAGACATTTAGAACAGATTCAAAAATGTGGGATTAATCGCGAGTTAACTACGACATCAATGCGATTAATCGCAAGTTAACTGATATTCATGCGATTAATCACGAGTTAACTATGACATTAATTCGATTAATCGTAAATTAACTATGACATCAATGCGATTAATCGCAAGGTAACTATGACATTAATGCGATTAATCGCGAGTTAACTATGACATTAATGCGATTAATCGCGAGTTAACTATGACATTAATGCGATTAATCATGAGCTAACTATGACATTCATGCGATTAATCGTGAGTTAACTATGACATTAATGTGATTAATCGTGGGTTAACTGTGACATTAATGCGATTAATCGTGAGTTAACTATGACATTAATGCGATTAATCGTGAGCTAACTATGACATTAATGCAATTAATCGTGAGTTAGCTATGACATCAATGCGATTAATCGCGAGTTAACTATGACATTAATGCGGTTAATCGTGAGCTAACTATGACATTAATGCGATTAATCGTGAGTTAACTATGACATTAATGCGATTAATCATGAGTTAACTATGACATTAATGCGATTAATCGCGAGTTAACTATGACATTAATGCAATTAATCGTAAGTTAACTATGACATTAATGCGATTAATCATGAGTTAACTATGACATTAATGCGATTAATCGTGAGTTAACCATGATATTAATGCGATTAATCACGAGCCAACTATGACATTAATGCGATTAATCGTGAGTTAACTATGATATTAATGCGATTAATCGTGAGCTAACTATGACATTAATGCGATTAATCGTGAGCTAACTATGACATTAATGCGGTTAATCGTGAGTTAACTATCACACTAATGTGATTAATCGCGAATTAACTATGACATTAATGCGATTAATCGCGAGGTAACTATGACATTAATGCGAATAATCGCAATTAAATATTTTAATCGTTTGACATCACTAGTATATACGTTTTTTTATGCTGTGTATATATTCAGTACGCTTGCTAACAATCCAAACACAGCCCTAGAATATGAACAGAGGGAATCAGAAAGGCTGGCACGCACCTGTTTTCCTCGGACACGTCACCCGCATCCTCTGTGTGTGCAGGTTGATGGGAACGAACTCCAGATATTTCTGGCCTTTGCTGCAGCTGGGCTTGAACGACGGGCCTGGGAAAGATCACCAAAAGCCAAGCGTTTAAACATAATCTGGTTCAGACATCGTTCAAGAGCAAAACAAACAGGCAGAAGAGCACACACAAACAGCGAGGGGCTTTGCCATCTGCTTCTGTTGATTTACAGCTTCATGCAAACACACACACGTTTACTATTAGTTCGAGTTTGCATGCGTACAAAGCGACGACCTGATCAAATGAACGCCATGTTGGTCTGATTAAAAGAATAAAAAGAAGGCAATTAAACATCAATTAAAAGCGAGAGCCTTCAAGCAAAGGCCTTTCATTTAGACGTGTGAATGAGGTCTTTCACACAGGACACATAAAAGAAGTCCTGGATGACCTTGAGTGACTCGTGCTTTAGTAATGACCGATGAGAGACGCGCCGCGATCTGATCACAGGCTGTTACAAATATCACTCTCCCAAATACCAGCTCATTTCTTCTTAAATCCACTAAGCACCGGATTTCGCTGAAATTAGGCACCACCTGCTTTGTGCAAAAACAACCCAATTAAAATCTTAAGAAACGGATACTGTAAGCCCCTATGGCGAAGCAAATATCGCCCAGCGACACACGGCAGGCTTTTGATCCCTTCAATGTAATATATGCAAATATAGCCGACAAAGACGCTTTGAAATGTTATCAGCACTCCTAATAACTTTCAAACCGAACAACTTATCTGAGCAACTGTGCTGCGAGGAGACAAAGAGGTGATGGAAATAAACTGGTGATAAATAAATTAGAGTGTAAAAATGCCGGGTTCTTATAACAAAAGACAGCTACGAAAAATAATTATTGCATTTTTGCATGCTTTTTATGATATTATTCCTCTCCAAGATTATATATGATTAGGCTCTCAATTCTCAGATTATTTTTTTTTCTTTATCACAAAAGTACTAAAATCCATCAACTATGTTGGCTAAGTTACTTTAGAGTCCCCCTGTGTTGAAAATCAAGCCTTTAATGTTGTTTTTATGTCTATGTGGTGTTTTTAATACACTTTAATAATGATAAAGCATGTGCAATTCATAAAACTGAGTATTTTCTGCTTAAAACTGCAGTGAACCACAGATCACAAAAACACGGTTTGAGATCGTTGGTGTTTCTGACGTCACACACTACCTTGTAACCAATCAGGTCAATGTGTGATCGTCAAGTGAGTGAGTAGAGGCGGGGCTCATTTGCATATTCATAGAACCACATACTAAATGAGGCAAGGGTGTCGAGTTACTCTTGAGCTATTTGTTTTTAAATGTCATTTTGGTGATCAAATATGAGTTAAGGAATAAAATGATTTACAGGAATTAATTACTAGCTTCTAATTACATTAAACATTTTAATTAGCTTACTGTACTAATTCTAAAAAGTATTGGATTGCATATTACTAATTACTTTCTAAATGACATATCAACCATGTTGAACAATACAAGGGTAGACATAAAAATCAAATAAATAATATAACATTCATAAATTATTCTTAAACTGACTAAAGTATTTCAAGGGAGAAGCTTGCCTTAAAAAAGAGACGTTAAATTCTTATGTTTAATGCGCTATTGTTTCTATATAGAATTGTTCTATAATCTATAAAGTATTTAAAGCAATTACATCAGAAGTAACTGTAAAGAAAAGGGAAGAGTAATCCCTTACTTCACCTTTTCAAGGGAAAAGTAATTCAGTTATAGTAATCGTTACACCCAACACTGAGCAGAAACTACTGTGTATAAATACTTTACATTTAGTTTACAAATTAAACAAACAATTATTAAACCAAAAACAAACAAATTTTGGTGAAATTGTCAAGAAAATAAAGTCAATGCAAAAATTTATGGTTTTAAAACAGGCTTCATTTTGATAATAGGCTTTCATTTTATTTCATGCAAAAATTAAAACCATATTTAAGCCCATATTAAGTATATAATCCATATTATCAATGGTGATTCGCCTTACTGTTTACAAAAATATGTTAAAATATATATTACAAGAATATAAAAATATATATTACAAAAATACGGAAGTGTTTTAATTGAATTAATTAAGTACCATAAATACTACTACTATAATTTATAATGGAATAAATAAATACGTACATACATAAATTGCGGAAACTGGCATGAAAATAATGATGCGCAAACATTTGTGAGGGCCTTCAAATAACATAACAAAAATCATATTATTATTCTCAATGGTGATTCTCATTACTGTACTACTGTATATTCATTACAAAAATAAAGATTGTTTAAACATTTAAAGAAGTACTATATACTACTATGTATAAACACTTTACTGAAAAATGTTCATTAATAATAATAATAATAATGGCTAAAACTAGTGATGTTCTTAAAGTAGGCTTAATTTTGATAACAACCTTTAATCTATTTTCATGCGAGACGAAATATGATCAGGGATTCACCCATATCGCGTGTGAGCGCTTTAACGTGTGACAGTACGTTCTCATTGGACACCAAACGGACTCTTGAGATAGTGAAGTCCTTTGATAATAACATGATCGTACTCAAAGGCTCTGTTGCTTTAAAACCCTGAACATCAATTAAAGGTTAAACACCCCCGCCAGAGCCCACTGAACACCACAATTCACCAGCGAGCCACCACAACAGCTCAATAAATAGACATCGTAGCCGGCACGGCTTGGACAAAATGCCCTTCCTATTTATGATAAAACATAACCGAGGAAGGAGAAAGTAAATAAATGAAGCGCAGCATCCACACTGAAGCATGACCTGTGCCCAGACACAAGTTTGACCCCTGTTAAATGTAAAATGTACATGGTGAGACTTTTAACAAGGCATATATTCACTATATTCGGTGGGTCAGAAGCATGGATATAAATTAGATACTGTCACACACACACACACACACACATATATATATATCATGCTGAGAGGTTCTTTTGCTTACTGTGTAAACGTTGTGTAAACTTGATCTAATGAGTGCATCTTTAAGCGGCACTGACGCCGAGTCCCGAGACTGAGCTGTCAGTGGGACAGATGTGCTCTCTCCTGGGACACGGGCTAATGGAGGCGGGCCATCCAGCCGTGGCGGAGGAATTAGCCCCATCACACACACCATCTGCCCGCACAGGTGCTGGTCGAGGGAAACCCCAGGAAAACTGACCACCCGTCCACATCCTGTGACTCAAACCTTACTACACTCTTAAAAGTGAAGGCTCTTTATTTGGGATCGATGGTTCCATTAAGAACCTTTAGCATCCATGGAATCTTTTCATTCCACAAAAGGTTCTTTATAGCGGAAATATGTTCTTTAGATTTTTTTAAATGTTTTTCACACTAAGAAAAAAAAAAACCACACACAAAAAAAAATGGTTATTTTAAAGGATTAGTTATTAAAATTTTCTGATTATAGAGTGGCAAAGTGATGATGATTTTTTTTAGGACAACTCGGAAGTTAGCGGCGCATGGGTTCCCTCCATCGAAAAGCTTTGCATATTCCTCATAGACTTTTGGAAAATCGCAAAAAAATAAGATCTGTGTTCAACAAAGAGTTGTGACCCTTAAGCCTGGAACACACCTAAAATGCTAACTCACTTCCGCCTTTTGGCCTACAGAGTGACGTCATAGCTTCGGCACTCTATTGCGTCATCCAAGATGTTCGTGTCTTTCTTTCTTCAGTCGAATAATAAATGAATAAATGAAGGAAAACATTTGATTCCAGGATTTTTCTCCATTTAGTGGACTTCAACGGGAACCTATGGAAGCTTGTTTCCGCCACAGAATAAAACATTTGAAAACTTTTTGACCACAAATACTCGTCTTGCACTAGCTGTGATGCGCCGCACATTACGTCATCTCCTTGAAAGGCCGCGCGTGATGTAGGCGGATGTACCGACCTAGTGTTTACAAAGCGAGCAAAGACTCAAAGTAAAAAAAAATGATAAATAAAATGTAAAACAACGGCGTTGGACAATTTTGAAGTTGGAAAAAAGTAGCCTACATTTTCCTCCTACGTCAGGTTGCTTTACGCGTGAAGTCGTGTACGTGCAAGACGAGCATTTGTGGTTAAAAAGTATATGAATGTTGCTTTTTTTTTTTTTTAAATGAGTGATGGTTTGTCTAGATAAGACCCTTATTCCTCGACTGGGATCGTGTAAAGACTTTGAAACTGCAATTTGGACTTTCAACCCATTGGAGAAAAATCCTGTAATGTTTTCCTCAAAAACCTTCGTTTCTATTCGACTGAAGAAAGAAAGACATCTTGGGTGACATGGGGGTGAGTAAATAAATTATCAGGAAATTTCAACTCTGAAGTGAACTAATCCTTTAAGAACCGTTCTCTGAAAGGTTCGGTAACACTTTACTTGAAGGGGTGTGCGTAAGACTGACATGACACAACTGTCACAAAGTGTCATTAGCTCAATTATGACATTTTTAACGCAAATATGACATTGTTTTACATCCAAACCTGTCATAAATATGTAATAAACACAATGATCAAACTTAAGAAACCACTTCTTTATGGGTTAACCTCTTAACTGTCACCCCCACTTTTTTGAATAGACATGAAAATGCACATTTCGAACTTAAATGGTTGTAATTCAAGAATGCTTTGGAATATAGACATATGATTGGTCTTGTTTTAAAGAAGACATTTGGCAGATTTTTGTAGAAGTGAAATAAATTAAGAAAGTGAAACAGAAAAAAAGTTATAGAAGTTGAGTTTATGGAAATGTACAATGTAAAAATATAATTATTCATATTTTACATAAAATATATATTTTCAAAACCTGGGCTACTCTAAAATGGCAGAAAGATCAAAGCCAAAAATCTGAACAAGTTGTTGTTTAAAATTTTAGGTTGATATCTCAAAAATGAGCTTTCAGTAAGATTTTGTTTGAGCGCAGTACCAAACTTTTCACTAGGGCACAATCAGACTCCATTACTGCCCATATAAGGGCACCTGCATTTCCATTCGTGTTTTGAGTGATATGAACCATTATTTTCACAATTTTCAATACAAT